AAAAATCTAAAACTAAATTAAGGGTTAAGAAAACCTAAAATTAATTTAAAAAGCTAAAAATAAAAATTTGGGTTTTGTTTTAAAAAAAGGTTTGTAAAAGAGTGAGAAACATAGAATTGAAAAAAATATGACCAAATGGGTAGGGGTGGGTGTTGAACCTACGTCCTAAAGCAGTTTTAGCAGCAAGCATACCACCCAGCCAATGCGCTGGTTATGTCAAGGTAACACCTCCAACGTATTTTGTAACAAACCTGCAAAGATGATGGAAATATTAAAAAAATAGAAAAACTGGGAATCAAACCCGTGACCTGAGAGAGGAGTGACTTAGCGCACGCGTTTCTACCACTGGGGTGGCTATACATTTGTTCGTACAAATATATTAGCCAGAGAAGCGTCGGAGCCCTAGCTCCGGTCGTCTTCTCCGACGAGCCAATTCTTACACCTGCAAAAATAGCAAACGTTGGCGCATGAAGAAGACTCTACCCCCTAAGTCAAGCCTTCTGAATCCAATGATGGTGGCCGTTTGGCCTAAAAAATCTTATACGTAGAGATACAAAGAATATAACTCCTCGTGCCCTAACAATGGCGTTTGGGTGTTCCTATGTCAAAGCTCATAAATAATGCATTAAAACAGTTTTATTGACGTATATGAACACATATGGATGCGTTAAACTAGTTAATAATGCATGAATTAACGGTTTGAATTTTGATAATATTACCAAACTGATGAGTTCGAACGAGGTATTTTTGGCGTGCTTCAGCCTTGAGCAAGGGCGTGGATCGTCTCCTAGAAACTTCAGGAACACGTTTGGATGCTTGGATTAAACTACAATTGCTTGGAACTTGCAATGCAACTTTTCCCTAATCTTGGAAATTTTGTGACAAAACCCTTGTTTCTTGAGGCAGCTTTTGACGTTTCCTTTTGGTCTATTCTTGTTAGATATATATAGGACATGAGTTAGGTCAACAAAAATTGAAAGAATCATGCATGATTAGGAGAAACATATTTGATTTCGAATTATGTGAAAACTTGCTATTTTTGATCAATATTGCACCAATCTTCCTTGCACAAATTTGCCAGATCGTATATGCAATCTTGGGTCTCCAGTATAATTGAAACAAAAGCCTTGCACGCCTAACTCATTAACCATGCATTTTATTTTATTTTATTTTGAATTTAAATGAAAATACAAAAAATAAAAAGAAATAAAAATAAAAAAATGAGTGAATGGATTTAGAGGTCCTTAGATATGTCATGAACATGTTTGAACCTAAGAAGTTAGGCCCAATGGCCCAAAATCACAAATTTGCTCAATTGAGATTTCATGCATTTGCTCAAAATTTCCCAACATTCAATGGTCATAACTCACTCAATTTTCGTCTTCTCGATCTTGGACTTTTTGGAAAGCTCAATATGTCCCCTACAATCTCTATGTTGATCATTTTTACATTTGAAGACTTTATCTTAATGTAAGTTGCCTTGACAAAAAGTGTCTTTTTGTTGACTTTTGAAATGACCTGTAATGTATTTGGCTTATATCTCTCAAATGATGCATTTTTTAGACTTGAGCTTAGAGCAAAAAAGTTGTAGAGAATTGAATTCCCTTCAAAATTATATTTGGTTGGGGAAAAGCTGATGAGGCATGTGAAAGTTATGTTTGGTCAAAGTTCAGTTGACTTCTCCTAAGGAAACCCTAATTTGGCAACTTTTGACTTTTGAAGATTTAAGGGCTTTTCTTGAGGAATCATGATCAACCTTGATAAAATGATGGATATGACTTTAAAATTTTGATGTTGACCAAAAATATTGAAGTTTGACTATATGTTGACCATAGTTGACTTTTCACCCCAAACAGCTGATTTTCAGTCATCTGAGTCATTGTCTGAGCAAACTTATGATGCAAGGCATGAAACTTGACATGAGAATTGTTGAAGACATGTGAAGAACCATGAAAATCACTTGAGACCTTGGAAACCCAATCTTCCTTGAGAAAATCAAAACCCTAATTGTGGACCCATTGCTTAGGAGAAGAATGAGCATTTGAGGACCTTATGAGAATGTCTTGAAGAAAGTGGGAGGAAATTTTTTTGGGTAAAACAATATCCATGCACAAACCCAGAAAGGCAAGCAAAATGGGCACATTCTAAATGGATTTAAGAGGAAGTGAAGAACCTGATACGATTCTGAGAAGTTGTATCCCCCCACTTCAAGAGTCGGACCCTCACCTCCAAGATAACCAGGTCGTTAACAAAGACTACCAACCATTTATTTTGATATTAGTCTTTGTTATAGAAATATTCCTCACTATAAACATAGGCGTTATTCTCTATAAGGAAATTCTTCATCGGCCAATAATAGGGAAGCAACATCTTACACTTACCCCCCGCTTTTGGATCTGCCTCACAAATAGTTGCATGAGCCAGGGGGTTAAAGGAGAGTGACCAAGAAGAACCTATTTATGAAGAGCGAAAACTCTGGAAAGTCTTCAAAGACCTGGGTTGTCAGCACCACGGATAGTAACTCCCGACCTCTTAGTTGGGCCAGTTTACTACAGTGGCAACGAAAAAGATGAAAGAACAAGGTGACGAAAGGGTTCCCTTTTAGATATTCACACCAATATTGGTAAGCCTTTATAGACGCCTAACTCAAAGGATGAAGTTGTAAAGAAGCCACCTCAAAAGAATTATCAAGTGATTAAAAACACCAACCTCATAAGCAATAAAGTGTAAGTGAACACCCAAGGTAAAAAAAGATATCCACAAAGAGGGATGGTGCAATCACCATACTCATTGCATTTTCTATCATTCTCACCAAGGGTGGTGGAACCCAATACAACGATTCCCCCACTTCGAGGAGAGCTTTATCCAAGTTTCCCTTATTGGAAAAAACATAAACAACAAAAGAATAAATAGAATCTTTCCATGAATACATTAGGTTCATCTGGTTTGCTTTTACATTCTTCCGTGATTTTTTGGCCATGTTGTGGTAAACATTCTCAGATACAAGAATACGAAATATCAAAAGAGGAAAAAATAATTGCTCAAGAAGAAGGAAAAAAGAAAGATCCATGTAAAAACTACTATAGTTTTCCTAGACTTATATTATGGCGATACGAAAAAGAAATGGGTCTTATCGAGGATCATATCTCTCGCACATAAAACTTGAGTGTTTTAGTTCCTTGAAGAGACATTTGAATTTCTAAACACTAAAAGTGAGAAGAAAGGGCGACCGATTATCAAGGGTGAAATTATCCTAACCCTCACCTTGCTACTAAAGTATAAGGGCATGATTGGTAACTGTTTTAGGCCGTCCATAATCCTCTAAAACTGGCCCCCTTGAGATATTATGTTCCAAACCAAAACCTCTTGACCGACTATGCATGTATGTGTCTAGAATATTCTCCTTACCAAAAGACTACCATGTACCTTATTGTAGAAGATTCACGTATGCGGTACATCTAACAGTCCTCCGTATTCTACGCTTGAAAGATAATGAAATTGTTACTCCTCTCCTATATAAATAGGAAATAGCGCCCAAACAATGAACAATTTTTGATACAATTTGAATACGCTATACACTTTCACATATTGTTTGAGCGTCGTAGTTCTAACCTTACAGGTACATCTCTCTTCATCGCATCGAAAGCTCTACTCAGCTGCAACTTCTGCAACTTTCTATATTTTTGATTCCATAATAGAACATGTGTGTGTCATCCTATTTAAACTTTCTATTTAGGGTCAAATATTTTTTTGGTCCCTATAAATTACCAAATTTTATTTTTGGTCCCTATATAAAAACAGGCATGTTTTAGTCCCTACCAAATTATTATGCATGTAGTTTTAGTCCCTGATGTTAAACTGATGTGTATTTTTGAATGATTATTTTGCAGACATGTTTAGAACATTATAAAAAGTTCTTCGAAAAAAAAGAACTAAAAATTTGATTTCTAAGTCGAGATTTTCATTTCTTTTATCAATATCTTTTGAAAGTTAAAAATTCATATTTAATTCTTCTCATTTTAAAAAATTCTAAAATTTGGTAAATAAATATTTTATAGTATTCTAAACACTTTTGAAAAAAATTATTCAAAAATTCAAAAATTTAAAAATTTAAAGGTAATTCAACATTTTTCAAAATTTTAGAAAATAACAGGGACTAAAACTGCATGAATAAAATTTGTGTAGGTACCAAAATATGTCATTTTTTTAATAGGAACTAAAAATGAAATTTGAAATATTTATAGGGACCAAAAACATATTTAAACCTTCTATTTATTTCTTTCTTTATATTTGACGTGAAAACAGGTCGAGTCAGACGATTTTTACCTCTCCCAAACCCGAATCTCAAAACAATTCTTGTTCCTCGCCCCAAACATAAACGGGGATGGAGAATTAAAATTCAAATCCGTCTCAAATGGTTCGGGTTGGGTTCAAATATCTCCGTCCCGCCACCATCCATTTAGCAAAATCAATTTTTTTAATAGAAATATTTATTTTCTAAAATTAAATTACATTATAAACAATAAAATAAAATATTCTCAAAAAATTTCATACATACATTTCAAATAACAAATACAAATCAAATTCTCAAAACATTAGTCACATATTTAATATCCTAAATTATCAAATATATATAATAATGTACATAATAAAATAAATGAGGCGGGTTCAGGATGGGTACCAGTGTCTCATTACCCGATCGATCCCTATATTTTTTAATGGGGAAAACCCAAACCCAAATCTAAAACTAGTAAAATCGGGTTCTCCCCGTCAACTTTAGAGTGAGTTCGAATGGATACTCGCAAATACGGGTTTTGTATCATGCCTACTTTATATCCATCTACACAAAAATCTAACTTAATAGCTTGGACGCATACCTATTTAAACATATGATCACGTAACATAAAGTAAATTCTATAAATAAATTATATACTATTAAATTATTTATAGATTAATTATAGAATTGTAAAAGTATAAAAATTTGTTGGGCAAAAGCAGTAGTAAATTCGGAGGAGGATTCTCTGACTTTTGAGTGGGAACTACCCTCTGCCTTTTTCTCTATCTCTCACAAAAAATGCAATATCTCTCCTATTATTTCCCTCCTTTTATTCATCTATTTCTCAATTCTCTGTCATGAAAATTTCCTGAAGTTAGAGAAAATTGGGAAATGCAAAGTTAGAGGATCTGGTTCCAGCAAATTCATAGAGCTCTTGCTAGTTTCTATTTTTCTATCCACCAGCAAATTGTTTTCTTCAAGAAACCCTTTTTCTTATACTTTCTCAAAATCAAACCCATTCCTTTTCGTGGTCAAAACTTCATCCAAAGAAGAGTATGAGGTAGGGATGCTATGGATCCTGGTAGATCAACTGACAAGACTTGCCACCATGTTTCTTCTGCTCTTCATTTTATTTTCAGATAAATAGTACTAGCATATCATCTTCAAGATAGTTATTCGAATTGAAGGCATAGGTTTGTTTGTATGGATTGTGTTATTTTAAGCTTATCTATTTAAATGAGACTATTTGGAAGGGTTTATGGAATCTCTCTCTCTCTCTCTCTCTATATATATATATATATATATATATATATATATATATATATATATATATATATATATATATATATATATATATATATATATATATATATATATATATATATATATATATATATATATATATATATATATATATATATATATATATATATATATATATATATATATATATATATATATATATATATATATATATATATATATATATATATATATATATATATATATATATCATATTTTCACAAGTTGTTTTCAGGTGATTTGGATACACTCTCCATGATAGCTTAAAAAATAACTAATACTTTAGATAATAACTGTTTGATTTTTGTTTGTTTGGGCTATGTTTGGATATTGTAAAATTAATAGAACTGAGAAGAATGGATTGAAGTGGAGTGGAATGGGGCAAAGTTGAATAAAAATGGCTTTTCATTGTTTGGGTAATTTTATGACGGAATAGACTAATTTTCTCATTCCGTCCAAATCGAAGGGTACAAAAAATGAAGTAGAGTGATGGAATGAGATGGAATGCATTCCATAATTTTTTAACTAATTCAAACAATAGAATATAAGTTTATGTCATTCCATTCCGCTCCGTTTCGTTCCATTCCATCAATCCAAACATAGTCTTAAGTTGTTTATCTAAACATGACCTTATTTGGTCAAGGTTTATATATATATATATATATATATATATATATATATATATATATATATATATATATATATATATATATATATATATATATATATATATATATATATATATATATATATATATATATATATATATATATATATATATATATATATATATATGACTTTAGTACTTTGAGTTTCCTAATATCATATCATGCTCAAATAATGCATCATAAGCTTTTCAAATAATCCATTTAGCTACTTAAATGACTTTTCACCTATAGTCATTTCTAATGGCTAATAATCACATTCATTTATATTGATGATTAATCTCAACATTTTGAGATTAGTGATATCATATCATCCTAATCTAGTAAAGATTTTATGGTCAAGTTATTGTACATTATATGAGGTGTCATTTTGTATTTACAAACTTCAAAATTATTTTTTAAAAAGTAAAACACTGTACTTAATAATTGAGATATGAATGAATCAAAATGTTCAACATCCACACTGTTGTTTTTACTGGAAACAAAGGTTCATGTGCTGAGAAAATTCCAAAAAGTTAAGTAAATTGTGATTTGAAGATTTATGATAAAGATCATGGTCATAGAAGAATTCTCTTTGCTTATAAATATGTAATGTTGTTGGTCATTTTTGTTATCTTCATTTCCGCAATTTAGATCTCTAGAGGCGTTAGGATTCGAAGAGCAAGAGTTTTAAAGGAGGAACCAACCTTTAAGCTTTCGAGTATATGGCAAATGGTAAGCTTTCGAGTATATAAAAGATGAGAAGGTTGCATGTGATTTGAATAAGAGGTATAAATTGCATTGGAAGGTGCAAAAAGGATTTGCTATTTGCACCATGTTTGTTCTCCACCTATTATTCACAGGGATATAAAATCTAGCATCATTTTGCTTGATGAAGATTATGAGGAAAAGGTTGTTGAATTTGGTGTTGTACGGATGTTTTGATACACATGGTTATTGATCTTAACGGTTGATCAATACCTGCAAGGTGGCCGGATGATGATCTTCAGACAGGCTGGAAAGTCGAGGAGGAAAAAGAGGGGTTGTACCTGTAAGGCACTTCAAGGATCAAGTAAGTGTGGAAGCAAAAAGAGATACAAGCAAAATATTAGGATTTTAGTGATGAATAGTCGATATTCGATACCTGGACCTCACTTGAGTGATGGTTTATATAGTTCCCCTAGTGCTTGGCCATTGGTCCTTATTTTTGGGCTTAGATATGCGGGTCCGCAAAAATAGGTGGTTGTTAGAACTTGGTCAAACTAGGCAGGTGTGTCTGTAACTAGACGTTGTTTTCAAGTAAGAGGTAGGTTACGAGCAGCAGTCTGGTCGGTTCCTGGTTGTCTGACCGACTTAAGGTCGGGCAGGCTAAGAGGCGCTCATTTATTATCGTAGGTTAGTATTGGTCTAGGACGGAAAACGATCGATGGTGCTCGAAGGAGGGTGGGGGAGCCCGGGCCGTGCCGAAAGAGGAGGTTAGACTGGGCCCACTCTAGCCGTCAGGCCAGTCCAGAACATTATCCCCCCAAGTATTTTCTTTTGGGAACAGGAGTGATAACTTTAACACTTGCTCGTGGAATGGGGTGCTTCTTACAGGGAGCGTGAGCATCGCCCGTTGTTCCTTTCTCGCAGAGAGATGATTAGTTGGTCATTTGAGCTTCGAAAATTGAAGAGGTAGTGTGCTGAAGCAGTGGCACAATGATGGCCTAGGGGCTAGGGTGCAATGATGATCCTACGCATCCCTAGGTGTGTGTCTCTCATGTGCGGGAGAGTTTAGCTATAAATACGAGAGGAGTAGGGCAATATATGTTTTTCGTTCTTCTCTCACATTTCCCGTTATAGCTCACTTGTCGACCACCTATGTTTCTTTAAGATTAATTATTCGCCGCCGTTCCTTTCAACTTCCTTTCTTCTTTAATTGGTAAGATCCCAAATTTTTGTTGTTATTTAGCTGTTGTAGCCTAGAGTTTTACGATTTCCCTCTTGGAAATGCATGCGATTAGGCTTAGGATCTAGTTTGTTAAGGCGTTCTCGGGGAGTGTTGGTGGTAGACGGTGGTTCTGTAGTTTAGAATCGTCGGAGCCGCTGTTGGTGATCCTTGAGGATTTAGGTCATTTTTGTCGATTGGAGTTTGTCTTGTTAGGAAGAGTGTTTGCTTCTTCAAATTCCTTAGTGAGGGTTTTGGTCAGGACATGGTCCTCGTTTATCAGCGCCCTTTCACTTGATTTGTGGTGAAAGGGTGGTTTTGACATTAATGTCAATCTCAACTCTATCCTCTGCTTTCCAGGTACTATAGCCGATAATGTCAGAGACGATCTTTCAGATAGACAGACTGGATATTCCTAGAGTTCTATGGACGAGACTTGTAGCATGTCAAGCATCTTGGAGATATTCGGGGACAAGCTAAACTAGTCCGATCAACAAGTAAGGGGAGAGGATGGGGAGATGGTCTCTGCTGATCGGGGTGGCCTGTTTTCATCTAAGGATGATGAGGACCTGCAAACTTGGCTCATGGAGGATCCTTGGGATTGGGTTTCTTACTTTTTCGAGCACCGAGATAAGGTTTTTACTGAAGTATGTGCGTACGACGAGGGGAGCCGTGGGGAGTGGTCGCTTTGTATTCCCGGGAAAGATAGTCAGATCTGCTCGAAATATGATAAGCCACGGATCCCCATGTATGAGATTGTGTTCCGAGAGATAGGCCTTCGACTTCCCTTCTCGAATTTCCAGGTGGCCATTTTCAGGCATCTTCGACTAGCTCCTTCTCAACTGCATCCCAACGGGGTCGCTTTTATGTGAGCATTCGAGATTGTCTATGATTATTTATAGATTAAGGTCACCATTCCTTTGTTCTTCTACTATTTCCATCTCTATAAGAGCAAGGTTGAATGAAAGTGGGGATGGGTCACCTTGAAGCAGGGCAATAGGAAGTTGTTTAAAGCTTACCCGAAATCTGTTCGACACTTCAAGGACAAGTATATTCTCGCGCAGCCTCTTTCGAGCAGGGCAATGCTGATTGTTTTTCGGGATACTCTAGAATATGATGAGAGTGGGGACTTTGTCTTGAACGAGTTGGGAGAACATGTGAGTAAGTTAGTCTACAAGTTCCATTTCCAGTGGACGAGGAAGCATTTTGACAACAAGTTGGGTTCCTTCGTGTGGAAGGAGGGGGAGCTTAGTGACGAGGACCAGATGAGCTTCATCGTTTTGACCACTTTTGTGGCATGGATTCCTTGCGTCCAACGCACGGGCCAGGGAGGAAAGTCAGTCACGAATAAGAACGGGGAGATCATGTACAAGCACGGTCTGATAGCCGTTAAGGAGCTCCTTGAGAGTGAGGACCCCATTAAATACTTGGGTATTTAGCTTTATGTTTTGAATAATTATATGTGGTCGACATTTTTAAGTCCTCATTTACTAACTCTGATTTGTTGTTTGTTATGCAGATAGCATGAATCCTGCTTAGGAACGCATAGCTAGGAACCTTGTTGTGAAGGCGAAGAAGGCATTAAAAGATGCACATGCCGGTTCAGGGACTGCTCCCACGTCAGGGTTGGGAAACTCTTCTTCGGGTCAAGCTACCATCGCCCTCTCTCCCGATCTTATGTCCTCGAAGGCTAAGAGTCCATGCGTCGAGGGTGGCATTGATTTAACTGGGGAAAGGGGAAAGGGAAGTATGATCTACCCCGTGTTGGCTGGAAAAGGATTTCTTTGAGGGTGCCTCTCTACCACTCCCTCGGGCTAAGTCTCTTCACCTCGAAGGGCTGGATCGCCCGGATTATAGTGGTAGAAATGTTGAGACAAAGCCATCAGATTGACTTGACTCGCATAAATCAAATAAAAATCTCCGTCGCGCTTTATTGTTTCTAAAGGAATGGGAAAAGAGCGAATAACCCAAAAAAGAGGGGGAGAGAATCTAGGTATGAGGGTTGGTTATGCAAAGGGAAGGTATTAGCACCCTAAACATCTATGGTACTCTACAAGAACCTCTTTGACAATTTATGTATTTGGCTACAAATGTTGTATACAAAAATATATGGTGGAGATGAGAAAAGATGTATTTTTATACAATTTTGCACCCGCCGCGGTTGCAAACCTTTAGTGCCTATGTACCACCTTTCATGCAATAGGGGATCAGGGTACTCGTAGTTCACCTTTAAAAACTTTAAAAAAACCAAGTGCGTTGGTTAATTTTAAGAGA